CCGCCGGCACAGCCCCTGCCCGGCGAGGAGTGGGCGCGAGCGGCCAAGGTGGGGCTCGCCGGCACCCCCGGCCCCGATGCCGAGGGGGTGGGCACCCACTGACCCGCTCTGCACCCCCAGAGCCTGGAGGAGCTGAGCCGGGCACCGGGCTGGGCCGGGCGGGTGACCCGGCGGTGCCCGGCGGTGGCGGTGGGCGAGGAGGTGCCGGCGGAGGTGGCGGCGGCTCTGGCGAGGAACGCGGCGCTCAGGGCGGCCGTGGGGCGCCGGGACGAGGAGCTGGAACAGGCCACGGCCGCGCTGCGGGCGCTGCGGGGGGAGCGGGACCGCCTGCAGGGCAAGGTGGGTGCGGGGGGCACCGCGCGGGGGGCACCGGGTGCGACCCCAGGGCTCAGCCCAGTGCCTGGCACAGGTGAGGGACCTGCGGGATGCTCTGTCCAGCCTGGAGGAGCTGGGGGGCTCTGGAAGTGACGCCCCCGGGGTCAGCAGCCCCCTGAGGCTGCACCAGGTGAGTGGGGGAGGCCGGGACATTGCGGGGGGGGGGTTTTGGTGGGTGGGATCCTGCCCCAGTGCTGGGCTCTGCCTGTTCCTTCCACAGGACTTGCCCCAGTGCGGGGACAGTGCTCAGCCCCACGGGGTGCAGCCCCAAGGGATCCAGCCCCACGTGGTGCAGCCCCAAGGGATCCAGCCCCACGGGGTGCAGCCCCAAGGGATCCAGCCCCACGGGGTGCAGCCCCTCAGTTCTCAGCCCCACAGCCCCCTGTCCCCCCAGCCCTCGGCGGGTGCCAGCCGGGAGCAGGAGGAGCGGCTGCAGCAGCTGCAGGGGTGAGACCCCCCATCCCCGGGGCTGCCGGGCCCTCCCCGGTGGGGCAGCCGAGGTCTGGCACGGCCTGACCGCGGTGCCGGCCGTGCCCAGGTGCCTGGGGCGGCTGCAGGAGGTGAACCGGGAGCTGGCGGCCGCGCTGCAGGAGTGCAAGAGCGAGGCAGAAAGGCTGAGCATGGAGCTGGGACAGCACGAGTCCCGCAGCACCGCCCTGCGCCTGGCCCTGCGCTGCAGGTGGGATGGGAGGGCACGGGAGGGGATGGGAGGGGAGGGGATGGCACCAGCGTGGGTGGCAGGATGGGGACAGCCACACTGAGCCCCTCGTCCCGCAGCGAGCGCTGCGGGGGCGCTTATGCCGCCCTCCTGGACCTGCTGCAAGCAAAGGTGGGACGGGAGGACGGCGCCCGTGGGGGTGAGTGACAGCTCGGGGGGCTCCGGGGTGTTGGAGGTGCTGGGGGGTGCTGGGGGGTTGTCAGGGAGGATGATGGGGGGATACTGGGTGTGCTGGGGAAGACACTGAGGGGATACTGGGAGTGCCGGAGGGGATGCTGGGAGGATGTTAAGGGGATACTGGGGAGTTATCGGGAGGGATGCTGGGAGGACACTGGTGCTGCTGGGGAGGATGCTGGGGAGGATGCTGGGGAGTTACCAGGACGATGCTGGTGGTCCTGGGAAGGATTCTGAGGGGACACTGGGGAGTGATCAGCGAGGAGGCTGAAGGGATGCACGAGGCTTGTGTGGGGATTTGGGACCATGCAGGAGGGCTGGGTGGGAACACTGCTCCAAGGAGGGGCACCAGAGGGGTGCGGGGAGGATGCTGGGGAGGGAGGATGCCCTGCAGAGGGGCACCTGCCCGCACACTGCCTGTCCCATGCCCAGGAGCCGCGGGCGAGCCGAGCCCAGGGCACGCACGGGGGTCCAGCCCCACGGCCACGGAGGGGCCGCAGCTCCCGGGCCCAGCGGAGCCGGACGGGCGGGAGGAGAGTGGGGCCAGCAGCTCCCCCAGGGCACAGAGGTACCCGGAGGAGGGCGGGGGGCACGGTGTTCGTCCATCCCCGGGGTACCCCCGTGCCCACCCCAGGCACATCCCTATCCCACAGCACTCCGGCGCCCCGGGGGATGGAGGAGGGGGCCCTGCGGGAGCACATCCGCCGGCTGCGGGCAGAGCAGGCGGCCGTCGAGGGGTCCCTGCTGGACGCCCCGGCCCCCCCCGGGGTGACCCAGCACGGCCAGGACGCCCGGGCCCGGGCTGAGAGGGCACTGCGGGACGCCAGGGCGCTGCTGCCAGGCTGGAGGCGGCCCGAGAAGGCGGAGCTGCTGCAGGACCTGGCCATGCTCAAGGTGAGGGATTTGGGGTTGAGGGGCCCGACGCCCGGATCCCTCCACGTGGGAGCGGAGCCAGAGGGTGGTGACGCCGCTGCCATGCCAGGAGGCCATGGCTGAGCTGAGGACGCGGCTGCAGCTGGCGGAGAGGGAGAAGCGGGGCCTGGAGGTGCTGCTGGCCGGGCAGGGCCCACGGGAGGCTGCCCTGCGCCTCGTGCTCCAGCACCTGCAGTGGGAGCGGGAGGGGGGCACCCGCCGCCCCCCCAGCAGCTCCAGCAGCTCCAGCAGCAGCGAGGGGGTAAGGATGGCTTGGAGACCCCTCCCCGGGGCTGGGGGTCTCCCCAGGGATGGGACCCACACCCGATCTCTGTAGGATGCCCAGATTGGCCGGGGCGGAGCGGCGGCTCCGCGGAACCCTCCGGATCCGGAGAGGATGAGGGAAGAGCTGCTCCGCACCTCGGCCAGGTGAGAGACCTCAATGGTTTGAGCGGTGCCGGGACGGCCACTGTGAGGGGCTGGGCATGGGGCCACACTGGGAATCGTGCTGGGAATTGTGCCGGGATGGGCACTGTGTGGGCACCAGGCTCGGTGCAGGACCGGCTGCCACGTGCGTGTCCCCAGGACGGAGGAGCTGCGTGCCCGGGCACAGGAGCTGGTGCTGTCCCTGGAGCAGGGCAGTGCTGCCAGCCGAGCACAGCAGGCACAGAGTGTCACCGTCACCACGGATCTGTTCCAGGCGCACAGGTGGGCAGGGGGCACCCACGTCTGTGCTGGGTGGGCGTGGGGTGCAGCATCTCCTGGGTGCCCTGTGTCCCTTGGGTGCCCTGGATTCCCTGAGTCCCCTTAGACCCCTGGATCCCCTGGGTGTCTTCTGTCCCCTCAGTCCCTTGTGTCCCCTATGGCCCCTGGATCCCCTTGGTCTCCTGGGTGCCCTGTGTTCCCTCCATCCCTTCGTCCTCTGGGTGCCCTGTGTCCCCTGGACACCCTGGGTGTCCTGGATCCCCCGTGTCCCTGGGGTCCCCTGAATCCCCTGGATCTTCTCAATCCCCTGGATCCCCTGTGTCCCCTGAATCCCCTGGATCTTCTCAATCCCCTGGATCCCCTGTGTCCCCTGGATCCCCTGAGTGCCCTGGGTCCCTTGCATCACGTGTGTCCTCTGGTTCCCCTTGGTCCCCATGATCCCTGGTTGTCCTAAATCCCCTGGGTCCCCACATCCCCCATGTCCCCCATATCCTCCGTGCCTTCCGTGTGCCCAGTGTCCCCTCTGTCCCCCATATCTCCCATGTCCCCCACGTGCCCGGTGTCCCCTCTGTCCCCCGTATCTCCCCTGCCCCCCCTGCCCCCCGTGCCCCCCTCGTGCCGGGTGCCCGGGCGGGTGCTGAGCGTGCCCCTCAGCGCCCTGGCCCTGGCGTACCGCGGTGCCCGGCGCAAGCAGGCGGCCCAGGCGCGGCGCCTGGAGGCGCAGGCGGGAGCCCTGCGCAGGCAACATTCCCGGCGGGAGCAGGCGCTGGCCCGCAGGCTGCACTCCCTGGAGCAGGGCCCGGCCGGCAGCGAGACCTGCATCTAGAGACCCCCCCCAGGAGCCCCCTCCCCGCTGTACCCCCGCCGTAATAAACGGTGGACGCTCGTGGTTTGGCGTTGGGGGGTTTTGAGCTCGGACGGGGCTCAGCTGGGGGACCCCCGGCTCGGCTCATCCCAGGGGGGCCGGGAACAAAGGGCGTCCCCCCCGCGCCCCCCCCGCTGTCTCCCGGCGCAGATGAAGCCATTTGGTTGTCCCTGGCGCGGGATCAAAGGTGACGGCAGTGGCCGTGGCGCGGGGCCCATCCATATTCAGGAGGAAGAGGAGCGCTGACCCCGCGCCGGGGGCATCCCGGCCCTGCACGGGGGGGGCTCCGGGAGCGGGCTGGGCCGGGGGGCTGCCGAGGGGACTGGGGGTGGGCTCAGCCCACCATCCTGAGCCCCCCCATCCCCGCGCGAGGGAGCGCATGGATGGTGGGAGCACATGGATGGTGGGAGCACATGGATGGTGGGAGCACATGGATGGTGGGAGCAGGGCTGAGCGTGGGGCTTGGTGGGGGGATGAGTGGGGACAGGGCAGGGCTTGGATGCGCCGAGGGGTGGAGGGAAACTGAGGCACGGAGCTGGAATGGGCTCCAGTGAGGCCTGGATTGCCCTGGAGAGATCCTGCAGTGGAGTTCAAGGCTCTGTGGATCAACATCTGGAGCTGTGGTGATGGAGAGCGCTGGGAGAGGGATGCAGGGATTCGGGGATGCAGGGACACAGTGGTGCAATTATGCAGGGATGCAGAGCTGTGGGGATGCAGGGATGCAGGGGATGTAGGGATTCAGGGGATGTAGGGATTCAGGGGATGTAGGGATTCAGGGATTCAGGGGATGTAGGGATTCAGGGATGCAGGGATTCAGGGATGCAGGGGATGTAGGGATTCAGGGATGCAGGGGATGTAGAGATTCAGGGATGCAGGGATTCGGGGTTGCAGAGCTGTGGGGATGCAGGGATTCAGGGATATGGGGATGCAGGGATGTGGGGATGCAATGAGGGAGGGATTTAGGGATTCAGGGCTGCAGGGACTCAGGGAGCAGGGATGTAGCTCATCCCCCCGAGCTGCCCGTGCCCTCCACCCCCACCACCTCTCCGCTCTCTGAAATGGGGTCACCTCTGTGTCCCCAGAGGCAGCAGGGCTGGATCAAAGGACACCTTCCCCAGGGAGCTGCCCCAGCACAAAATGGGAGCAGCAGAGCCCTGATTGGTGCCCAGCACAGGGGGTGGGTGCCCAGACCCGGATACCAGAGCCAGGGGCTGCCTGTGCCCCCCACTCCCAGTCCCTGCCTGTGCCCCCTGCTCCCAGTCCCTGCCTGTGCCCCCTACTCCCACTCCCTGCCTGTGCCCTCCACTCCCAGTCCCTGCCTGTGCCCCCTGCTCCCACTCCCTGCCTGTGCCCCCCACTCCCACTCCCTGCCTGTGCCCTCCACTCCCAGTCCCTGCCTGTGCCCCCTGCTCCCACTCCCTGCCTGTGCCCC